GGGGGGGGCACGCCTTGCAGTGCTCAGGGTGTATCCTGCTCTGTGCTCAGGAATTACTCCGGGTGGGGCTGGGTAAACCATTGAGGATGCCAAGGATTGAGCCCAGGTCAGCAGTGTGTAAAGCAAGCACCCAACCTGCTCTTCTCTCTCTCTGGCCTTGAACTTGCACGATGTCCTTGTCTGACTTAGAGGAATTTTGCTGTTTGGGTAAAAGGCCTGAATTTGTGAAAGGGTGAAACTGACGAAGGCCCTGGAAATGGGCGTTCTGATTCGAAGTGAAGCAGATGGCCCCTGTGGCCCTTGGCCCTGTGAAGCGGTCTGCCGCTTCTCACATCAAATAAGGATCGTCTTCCATTCCTGAGGGCCTGGCCTTACTGAGGATGGGGTCTCAGTGCTAGTTGCAGGTGGGCTGTAGGGTGGCCGAGATGCAGGGAAATGAAAGAAAGTTACTGTAGAACTCTATTCTCTGTGTCCATGAACGTTACTTTTCTCTGTACTAAGTTTATGTCTGAACTTTTCCTAGGTATTCAGAGCTACTGACAGATAATTTTGGGGAAACTTCCTATTCAGAGGAGTGATAGCACAGCGGTAGGGCGTTCGCCTTACAAGCGGCCAACATGGCCGGCCCGAGTTCGATTCCTCCGCCCCTCTCGGAGAGCCCGGCAAGCTACCGAGAGTATTCTATATGCCAGACACAGTAACAACAAAGTCTCCAATGGAGACGTTACTGGGCCCGCTCGAGCAAATCGAAGATCAACGGGAGGGCCTTTACCTTTACCTTTACCAGAGGTTTACCAAAAGGTGACTGAGCCAAATTCTTAAAAACTGTTTGAACGTTTCCGCCTTTAATGAGTTTCAGTCATGTGTTGAGATGATGGTGATTATTCTCTGTTCACTACCAACACTCCTCAAATACCCACCGCGTTCTTGGCACTGTTCTGGCATTGGAATTAGAGCAGAGGATAAGGTGGAAATTCCTTCGCCGTGTTTGTGAGATGAAGAGACGGGCCCTCCACGGGAGAGTGTCCCACCCTCTCCCACCTGTTGATAGTGGGTGCCCGCTCCAGGCTCTTCCCTTGGCTCTCTGATAGGTGATAGTCAATTTGTCTTAATTTACAAGGCTCATATTCTTAGAAGGAAAGTACTGCAGGAGGGGTGGAGGGAGAGTGTGGTGGTAAGGCTTTGCACACAGCTGAAGTGCGCTCGGGGCCTGGCGTGCTTATCCACCTGAGCACTGTCTGCCGTGTGGCCCCTCCAGAGACAGAAGATGCTGAATATAGATTGTCCTTTAGAAGTTCTTCACTTAACATAAGAGGTGAATGTTCCGCAGTGCTACATAATTCCTTCAGAGAAAGGATTATTTTCAGAGTTACTAAGAAATTTGATTTCGTGGCCATTTTTTGAGTCGTGGAAACCTCAATACTATAAATGTGTTGGGGGGGCACACCCAGCTGTTCTCAGGGCTCACTCCTGGCTCTGCTCAGGGGCCAGTCCTGGGCGTGCTCCGGAACCGCGGGCCATACCCGTGGTGCAGTGGCACCTCGTCCTCCGTACTCGCTGGCCGAGGGCCGGGGGCCTGCGCTCAGCCTTGGCCCCTTTCCTTTGCTCTCCTCTTGGCTCCTTTTTCCTTGGTCTGTTTTCTTCACTCCGAGGTGCTCAGGTGCCCCTTCCTGCCTCTCTCTGTGCTGGGGGCTCACGGCTGGCGGTGCGCTGGGCTCCTGCGTGCAGAGCTAGACTCAGCCCATCGAACCATCGTTCTGGCCCTGGCCTTGTAAAAGTAGCTTGAGTCAGAATTTTGTTAGGCTTTGAATCATTATCATGGAGATATTACATAAAGTAATTTTTCTTTGAATCGTCTTTTTAAGATTAGTCAGAAAAATAAGAGAATAGCAGCTTAGGTTTCTAAGTTCTCTTTTTGGCTTTGGGACCACACCCAGCTGTGCTCAGGCTTACTCATGGGTCTGTGCCCAGGGATCACTCCTGGAGGGCTCGGGGGACCATCTGGGGTGCTGGGGGTTGAACCAGGTCAGCTGAAGCAAGCAAGCAAGCGCCCTCTGCACGCAGCCTGCGCTGTGCGCCTGCTCTCCCTGTGTTATCTTTCATCTCAAAACCCTTTTGTGGAGAAGGAACAGCTGTGGCTAAAGACTGTAAATGCTGGTCAGTTGGCGGGGCGGAGGGGGCCTTCTGCGGAAAGTAAAATTCAGTTCGTGTTTCTGCTTTGTTTGGGACTTTTTCCCTTTTTAATGTTTTAGATGTTAATATGCGCTCCACAGCACCCACAGCACTGCTAGTCCTAGAAAAAGAGATGTAAAGACATATCTCCAAGGCCGGAGAGATAGTACCGTGCATAAAGTGTTCTCCTTGTACGCAGCCAACCCGAGTCCGATCCCCGGCATCCCATAATGTGCCCTGAGCACCGCCAGGAGTGATTCCTGAGTGTAGAGCCAGGAGGAACCCCTGTGCATCACCAGGTGTGGAGCCAAAGAGGTGTGTGTGGGTGTGGGGGGAGGGGGCGAGACAGTATTTTTACTGTACTTTTTTTTGCTTATTTGATAAGTATTTTTCTTTTGTAGATTTTATTTCAGTTTCACAGAGAGTTGGAAGATAAACTGCCAGATCTCTGTTTGGAAATATGGTTCGGGAAAGAAACATTGACATGTAACATGGGCCTGAGGCAGAAAGTCAGTGTTAGTCACTCTCCTTTCTGGACTGGGCGGAAGCCAGAGACGGGAGACGCGCCCGTTCACTTCTGTGTGAGTTGCACAGTGTGGCCTCTGGCTGAACAGCCTCGGACGCCCTGCTGCACGGTGAGGCTCCGCGCTGTGTCCCTCCCCGTCTTTGCCTCCTTCTGGTGCACAGGAACTGACTTCTTCAAGATCCGCTGAGAGCATCTCACGTTATGTGCCGTCTAAACGTTCTCACAGGCCGAGCAGACCCTCACTGGGCCCAGGATCACTGGCCGAGCAGCCCACCGGCCCTCACAGGGGAGGCCCTGTAACTAACTCTTCCATTCATAAAATGTGTGCTCATATTGTTTGCTGTTTACTACATTTGGTATTTTGAGTTTAAACAACCCTTAACCTTCTTTGGTGTTGTCTTAAATGAATATCTTTGTGATTTTTTTTTGTCTTTTTAATTGAAACATAATTGATTTTTTTAAACAGCCATACTGACTTTATGCCATATAAAAACATGCAAAAATTTCGTCTACATCATTATTCCTTCGTATCTGTTCATCTTACGGCTGCTATGGGGGGAGGGGGGAGGGAGGCACCAAACCCAGCAGTGCTCAGGGCTTCCTCCTAGCTCTGCGCTCCCAGATCACTCCGGCTGGGGCTCAAGGAACACGTAGTTCTGGGGTTCAAACCCAGGTGAGGTGGCTGCAGGGCAAGCACCTTACCTCTGCGCTCAGCCCTACTTCTACTTTCCACCCTTGAATAAAGTGTTCATGTGTCTGTTTCAAAATTCAGCTGGTTCAGTGCTCATGTCAGTACTCATGCAAAGTTCCCTGCCTGTGGCCATCACCTCAAGGTGTCCTCAGCTGCATTTGCTCACAAAGTTTCCCCTTTTTTGCCAACACCCAGCAGTACTCAGGGCGCACTCCTGGCGCGGTGCTCAGGGATTGCTGCTGGTGGTTCTAAGGGAACCTTATTTGGTGTCATAGGATCACTCAGGTCAGCCACTGTTCTAGCTGTTCTCCAGCCCCTATACAAAACTTTTCTCTCTGTCAGGAAACTGTGCTCTTTGAAAAGTGAGTCTTTATTCAATGACTAGTGCCTGCAAAATGCACTAATCCGATATTCCCTAGTACCAGATTCTAATATCAAAATGAGATACGAGATAGTAGTAAGGAGCAGTGCTACTGAATCAGATAAAAGATTGACCTCTAACCTCTTAAGTTTAAAGGAAGCAGACCTTGATCTGTTGGGTTGTTGTTTGGTGGGTGGGTGGTGCTCTCCCCAAGGTGCTCTGGAACCCAGGGATTACTCTGGCCCTGCTGCAGTTTCCATCTGAGGGTGCCCTTTGGTGCTCGGGTGCAGCAGGATCCCCCACCAGCAAACAGCGAGGGGTCTTCAGGGCTGGTTGGGAGGCTTTGGGCGAGGGATCGGGCCTGTGTCCTGGAATTGCCAGGTATGCGTGTAACTTCTGTACTCGGGACACTGAACTGGTGAAGAAGTCACCTGTCGTATGTGAGATCCCGGATTTGGTCCTTCCATCACCAAAGAAAAGGAATCCAGCTGCAGGACACTGCTTTCCACTCCTCTGCCTTTTGCCATTGAGGGTCTTTCCTTACTGGGGAGACAGGGAGAGGAGGAGACGTGCCAGGCTTAAGTGGTTTTCTTGTAGGCAGCAGATGGGGTTCTGGTAGCAGTCTTAAAACTTTCTAAACTAAGTCCTAGAAAATTTTGTTTGAGCAGTTGTAGATTGAGGGAAATACACTTAGGCATAACCTTGAAGAACTATATATTACTTTTGCACTACCTCAAAGGAGAAATATTTGCGTAAAAACGACAAATGAGCGTAATTATTGAACGTCAAGCATATAATAAACCGAGAGCCAAGTGTAGCCCCTGTTTACGTTTATGTTTTTCAAACCCTGTTTAGCGGGCTGGAGCAATACAGGTAGGGCATTTGCCTTGCCTGTGGCCACCCCGGGTTTGATCCCTGGCACCCTGTATGGTCTCCCAAGCCTGCTAGAAGGAAGTCCTGAGCGGCACCAGGTGTGTGCCCTCCCACCCCCATGAAAGACCGGTTCAAGGATGGGAAAAGACTTCATTCGTGTTTGGGGGGAGATGATTGATGGGGTAGGATCACCCCAGTGGAGCGCGGGCATCAAACTCTGGGCCTCACATGCACGCGGCGTTCTCTCTCCTGCCTGGGCCCTTCCCCCTCGACCACACGGAGAACCTGTCGAGAACAGCCTTGTCACCGGGTGTTTTCCTCTTCCCTGGCAGGATTCCTCATGTCCATAACATGTTGGCTGAGACTGTGCAGCTCGCCCCCACTCCCAGAGTGGCCAGTCTCCAGTAATTGGACCCCGTAATCCCCACTCTGCCGTGCTGGACGTCATGAGCATTGCGGTCCCTCTGGGAGTCACCACACCAGACACACCCTACTCAGATATGGCTGCTGGATCCGAGTAAGTGCTGCTTCCTGTCCGTGGACACGGCTCTCTGGGCCTCGGAGGGGAAACGGAGGGACTGTTTGCTTCTAAACCCAGTCTGCTGTAAACCACCTTTCCCTTTCCCTGCCCCACCCCAGAAGCTGGAGGGCAGAGGGGTCTAGAGGAGAGGAGTGTGCAGGGCGGGGTTGCTGACGCATCAGATTGAGGCTCACCAAGTAGGGGTGACCCTTGTTTTTGATGGGCGGGGGGAGATTCGGGTGAAGTCGGTGCCCTGCCTGCTCTCACGGAGTTAACGATCGCGGTGGACGTAGGGAAGTTCCCTGGAGCTGATTTTCCCTGAAGGCCTCTTCCTACGTATCTTCCTTGTCCTAGAGTAACGGGGCAGTTGCTGAGGCGTTCTCACGCGGCGGGGGGTGGAAAGTGATGTCATGTTTTTTATGATGCTCATTGCCTAGAAAGAGGACCTTCAAAATCAGTGGTACCAAACTTTTTTTTCAGCTAAGAGCAGCTTTAGGAATTCAGAGTTTGTCGAAAAGCCCAATCCCTAAAATAGACTCTCAGTTCTTGAAGAATTTAAATGCGAAATGCAAATGAAGGTAGGCCTTCATTATGGAACTTTATCATTCACGGTTGTGACCCTTTGAGTCTTTTGTGTCCCTTCTCCTTTAAATTGTCCAAGACCCCCCTGCTCACAGACCCCCCCCTCTTGTCCTTTTACCTCCCTTGTACCCGGTCTTCCTTGCTTACAGAAAGGAAGTGGAAGCCCCCCACCTTTCAAGACGAAGTGGCACCACAGCAGGATGTGAGAGTCCAGCGACAGAGAGCCAAGGGGCCTAGGGGGCAGCATCCCCCGGAAGCCAAGTCTATTCCAGGCAGGACCAGGGATTAGGGTCTGGGCTGGAGCAATCCTGGTGTTTTGAATGTGTTCAGGTCCAGTTCAGACTCTTGATCCCACAGCCACTTCCTGAGTGAGGTGGGTGTCGCTCGGATTCCCGTTTCTCTTGGCGGTTTCAGTCCCGGGCAGCAAAGCGCAACATCTGTACCAGAACTGGGGGTTCACTTGCATCCCTGGTTAAGAGTGGTTTTCTGCCTTAAGACCGAAAATGTGATTGTAGAATGTGCATTTCTTCACAAAACCACCTAGGGTATCATGAATATGTACTGACCTCCTTAAAGAGGAAGACTTGAAAGTACCCGAGAAGCAGTGTAAAAGCTATTCTGGGGTAGTCCGGGACGAAAAAGCAGCTTTGGGGTCTTAATTCCCGTGTAAAAAGGGAAAGGGGGGAGGGGGTGGGAAGGGGGGGTAATTTCCTTACAGGACTTCCCCCCCCCCGTTTGTTTCTTGTTGGCTTGTTTAGTCTTTTCTTTCTTCCCCAACCCCCTTCCTCTCTCTCCCTCTCTCCCTCTCCCTCTCCCTCTCTCTCTCCCCTTCTCCCTCCTTTTTTTCTGCATGTCAAAGAGATTTGATTTTACCAAAAGCTGAGATTTACAATTTTGCAATTATTTCACTTAAAAATTACGTTGCATTAGTAGGTGGTTTTTGTATAATGCTGATGAACTTTTATAAAGCCAGCCACTTACCTCCTATACGGATTAAAAGCAAACTGTAGCTAAGCAGCATTAACGCTTGTGAGAACAGAGATGAAGTCAGTGAGTTTGGATTGTTAAAAAAGAAATGAACCTAAAGTAGTGAGTAATTATTGAAACTGGTATTTTCCCCCCCACAGTGCTCATAAATGTTGCTAGGAAGTCCAGAAGTAATTGCAGAAACAAAAAATACTTTTGGCCTAAAAATTTGACTGCATTATTTCTGTTTCCTGGAAATATTTGCTTCCATAGTTTTCAGACAAGAATACTGCTAACTATGGCCAAAACGATGGTTACATAGTTACATAACTTTTCTAAAGCGCAGGCTGCCCGCGCTGTTGTACCCATTGTATATACCGTTCTGCTGCATTATTAATGGTTTGGATCCTGCGAATCCCACTGCCAGGCAGAGTCAACTCTTCAACGCTCTGGGATTAACCCTGGTTTGGAGCCCAGACTCCACTGAATTCCGTTCTGGGATTTTCGATCTGATGGCAGCCATATGCATTCTGCATGTTTTGTATATCTCTTGGTAAATCTCTTTGTGTAGAGACAGTAGAAACAAGTAATTCTTTGGAATTTATGGTTCTGCCTTAAATTGCAGGTCTTTCTGTTAGGTTATTTCCTATTACATTTGGAGCAGAGTTGATGGGGTAGAACTGTTGCGAGCTTGGTTTGTCTCTGTGTATGGGCCAAGCTGTCACTCTGACATTGGAGAAGAGACTCCAACAGTTGAACAAAGCAGTCGACTAATGCAAAGAGGCAGCACTGCAGAATCTAAAACACATCCGAAAATATGGACTGGCCGGCTGCGTGGCACGAAATGTCTTAGGGAACCCAATAGTTCATCTTTTCACGTTTAACCAGTAACCGAAATGCATATTGCCGTTTCCTAATCAGAACGTGAGCTGCAGTTTCGGCGTTCGGCTCAGATAGCCGGAGAGGAAACGCTGTGTTCCGTGCAGCGGGGTGGCTGGTTAACGTCCCCAATAGGCATTTTATTTTCATTCCCTAGAGTCGCGCATGCCGTGCGTATGTGCGTATTGGGCCGGTTTGGAGATGGGTAAGAAAAGCCAACATGGCCCCATCTCCATGGCCATCTTGTATTTTCATGCAACTTTTCCCTTTTTCCTGGTTCCTTCAAAACCATTTCTAATAAACAGTTGTCATATTTCACCCCGGTGTTCAGTGGTGCAAAATCTCTTCATTAAAGTATGTGTAGCTCTTTGCAATACTTGTTAATCCAGTAAATCAACAATGTTGTAAAAAAGTTAATTGCTTTATTTTCACTGTCCATCACAGAAACTAAATTCTACCTTCATTTCATTAATGCTCGTTTGCCTTTGGTTTCATTTAGGAAACCCCACCTGTTTGCTAATCCTCCGAGCTGATTGTCTCTCGGTTAGCGTGTCGCCTTTTGCTCAAGAATACCGACCTGCATTCTAGATGTCCCCCACCCCCACCCCAGTCCCACCTTGCAAATACTCTTAAGTCATAAAGTGCATGCACGTAACTAACGAGAGAATGCTTTCCTATGTCTGAGCTCTTCTTCACCTAGAAAAGCCCTTTGCTGTCATTAATCAGACCCCTTCCTACAGTTTCGGAGCATAGGACTGGGTGAGTTGGATGCGTATCTGAGCGTTTTCTTTTATCCCTCACTTCTCCGCTGATTGCATCGCATTGAAATGCGTACTTGAGACTTGAAATACTCCTGCCAAGTACCGAGCCTGTGTATCCCGAACAGGAAAAGGGTCGTGCAGACAGACTGATCTTGATTCCCTGGAAGAACCTCCCATTCCGACGGGAGTTTAGGCTTGATTGGGGCGTTCCTAGTGTGTGAGTCTCTGTTCTGATTCATTTCAATGACAGATAATCCATTATTCAGCTCAGTTCTGCAGAGCTATACAAGTGTATTCTCTAATGATCTTTCAGTCCCCAAAAGCTAATAACCAGGTAGCAGTTAAGAGTTGAAGGTCTTTTTCTAACCCCAATACTCGGTTTTTGTTCTTTGCTACTCACGTTTTGTGTCTGTGTGTGTTACCGCCTAAAAGGTAGAATGTTACTTTGCTTTCCAAAGATTTTCGGGATCGAGGAAAAGGCAGTGTTTGGAGTCAGACACTGTTTCGAGTCCTGGAGGCATGTTACCTCACCACCTCGGCTCCCCTCCTTGAAAGTGGGGCACTGTGTGTACCGGATTTAGTGGTTGCAGAGACGAAATGAATGTACGCGTGTACACGTGGACCTGTATATAAGAATCTGTTTCTAAAAAGCACCGAACGGAGAAATAATGGGTCGTTCTGAGTGGCGGCCAGCTCTGCTGCTAGCATGTCGCTAGACGAAGAACGTCGGGGCGCACTTGCATTTCGATTCTCCGAGGAGTCGCCACGCGGCTGTTCGGTGTCTCTGTGGTGTGCTTGCATGTCAGTTGTAGATGAGAAATAATTGCTCTGAAGTTCTGGACGGTGTGGGGGTTCAAGATGAGCGGTCTGATAAATATAAGATGCCGTTGTTTTTACCTGTGCTCTCCTCAGGGCTTCCTGTCTTGGTAGTGAATGGAAGAGGGCCTGGTCCCGGGGGCGGTGCGGAAGGCACTTTCGTCACCCCCCTCACTGCACATGTCATGTGAGGTTTCATGGAAGTATTAAGCGATCCAATTAAGAAGAATAGCTCTGAGTCTAAAGCAGCCCACAGTGGCTCCTCTAGGGGAAGCTCCCCGCTCAGCTGGTACGTCTGTGTTTGTCGCTAGGGACACCTTGTCTCCCAGCTGCCTGCCTGGGGACAGCTGCCTCTCCCGGCTTCCTGTCACGCCGGTGCACGCGTAACAGCACTGCCCTGTTAGTTCCAGGCTTAGCCCCTGAGCAGATTGCCTCACGGAGTTTTTTTCTTTTTTTCCTTTTCTTTTCTTTTTTGTTTAATTCTAGTGGCTGGTGGTGTGGCAGGAGGCGGGTCTAGAGGGGAGGTTAAGTGTCGGCTGCCGGGAGGTTAGGTGCTATGCTATCATGCGTTGCTTTTCGCCCCTGTGCAGCCCTGAATCTGTGGAAGCTAGTCCAGCAGTTAATGAGAAGAGCGTGTATTCCACTCCTAACTATGGGACCACTCAGAGGCATGGGTGCCGAGGACTGCCTTACGCTGTGAGTAGCCTCCGCGTCTCTCCCCGCAGCCAGCCTCCTGCGGCGTGGCCGTTCCCACGCAGCGGGACTCTCTCGGAATGTGCGCCTGCAGCATGACGAAGTTGCCCCTTTCGCACTTCTGGGCTCCAGCGGACGTCCAGCCCTGCATCATTGCTCTTGTTTTTATGCCCCAGTTCACCTTGGCCTTTCGTTTTATCACTTGGCTGGTTGAAGCCCCCCAAACGAAGGGTACCGCTTTCTTCTTTCTTTCCACGTGTTCTTACTTTAGGGGAGAGAGGGGCCAGTGTTTGGACACTGTTGATTTAAAAAATCTTATTTTCAGGACCATACTTACGGAGCCCCTCCTCCTCCGACACCTCCTGCTTCTCCCCCTGTCCAGACGATCATCCCTCGTTCGGACCTGAACGGCCTGCCGTCGCCCGTGGAGGAGCGCTGCGGAGATAGCCCGAACTCTGGAGGAGAGACCGTTCCCACCTGGTGTCCTTGTGGTCTTTCTCAGGATGGCTTCCTTCTCAACTGCGACAAGTGCAGGTGGGTCTGGGCGCTGGGCTCCTCCCGGTCGTGGGGTGGGGGGCGCAGCTCAAAGTCTTCTCTCTTGTGTTTGTCGATGTAGATGGTCCCTTAGTGCTCCTTGGCGCGAATTCTCTGCACTAGGTGAGAATTGCTGGCCGCAAGGAAAGAGAGGTTGAGGCTAAAGCAGTTGACTTTGATAGGAGATGAAGGTCCAGGCAGCCTCTGGCGGGCGGGCGGGCGGAAGGGGGCAGTGTCCACAGAGCCGCTTCTCCCGCCCGCCGTGCCGCGCCAGGCGCTACCCCAGGACTATGCGAGTTTCTTTTCCCTCTCCAGGGGAATGAGCAGGGGGAAGGTTATTAGACTCCACCGGCGGAAGCAGGACAACATATCAGGTGAGCGCTTCCCCGCACCCCTCCGCCCGGCCCCTCCCCCAGCAGTCATCTTGCAACCTCATTTCGTTCTCTGGTCCTGGGCCGAGCGTGGCGGAAACCACCTTTCCTTTGGCCCCGTAACGGTCGAAGCAGCCTGGGAACACCCTCAGATAACCGCCGCCTGTCCCATGACAAGGCGGACCTCGGGGCCTCCGTGCAGGGCCGGCATGGGGCTCTCTGCCCAACGGGGCCGCCGGCAGACCCCCGCCTCGTGCCAGAGCTGAGAGCAGCAGTCGTGGCTTCCCGGGCTTGGGGCTCTTTGTAGTTCCCCTTCCAGGCTGTTGGCACAGCGTGAACTCTAAACGCCACCTTCCAGGTGGGGACAGCAGCGCAACCGAGAGCTGGGATGAGGAGCTTTCTCCCTCCACGGTGTTGTACACAGCAACACAGCACACGCCGACAAGCATCACCCTAACCGTTAGAAGAACCAAACCCAAGAAGCGGAAAAAGAGTCCAGAAAAGGGTCGCGCAGCAGCAAAGACGAAGAAAATCAAGGTATGGGGAAGAGAGACGCGCGTGTCGGGTGTGAGGCCGGGAGGAATCGGGGCTCGCTCTTGGAGCTCGCGTGCGGATCTCGGCTCCTCCTGGCGCGGGGTGTGCGGCCCGACTTCTCTCCCCGCGGTGCCCCGGCAGGCCGACACCCGGCCCCGTGTGGCACGGAAGCCCCGGGGTGTTGTCCCCGCCGTCCCTGCAGTGGCTCCCTGGCGCCTCGCCCCTCACACGATCTGACCGTCTTCTTCCGCCACATTTGAGTGGATTGATGTTTTCGCCCTTGTTGCCCCCCAAAAGCCAAAAGGCTTGTCTTGAGTAGCCCGCGCTTCCGTGGTGCTGCGGTGCCTCACTCTGTTCTCGGCGGAGTTTTCAAGGAAATCTTTCTCACTGCCAGAGCAGCAGCGTGGTTGCTCCCACGTGTGCGAAGGGGAGTGCTCTTTGTTTCCTTCTGAATTCCAAAATTGGGAATTCTTGAGCCGTGAAGACTTCCCTGTTCCCCTCTGTGCCGCTGGCCTGTCCCCTGGCTGGTTCTCCCCCGCCCCCACGTCCCAGCCCGCCTTAGGCTTCCTGTCTCTGTGGCTTCGGCGTTTGTTATTCCCCACCGTGCTTCCTACGACCCGCACAGGGGACAGCACAGCGCCCTCTGGTTTGTCCCTCTTACTCGCCTTGACCCCCTCGGCCCGACATGTGCCAGCGGGTTCATGCCTTCATCTTTCCTCGGCCCCGAGTATCCCACCGTGTAGCTGCAGCCCGCGGGTGCAACCCTGCTCAGCACTCAGGTGGCTTCCAGCTACCGCACAGAGCGTCAGTGAACACGGCACAGCAGAGGCTCCTCTGAGCAGTGTGTTTGGGGTGGGGTGGCCGCCCAGAAGCCCGGCTCCATCATATGACCGTTGAATTCCGCGACTCTGCTTAGGTGTGGCGAGTTCCATTGTCCTGGTTGCCCAGGAAAAGGGGACGGATACTAGAACACTCGCTCTGGCCGTCTCGGTGTTCTAGTCTCGGGTTCGCTCTCTGCTTTGTTCTCCTCGTTTTCCTCTTGGGGCATTTCCAGAGGGGCCTGGCGTCCTTGCGCGTGAAGCTTGGGGCCACTGTTCCACGCTGCGTTTCAGCTCTCTGTGTTTCACTGCATTTCCTCTTGTGCGTCTTCTTCAGCATCTTTCCCAGCAACAAGGGTCTGGGAGTCTTGGACTCCTCTTTTTCCCTTTACTTCACTCTCCTCTCTCCCCTCCCTCCCACACTCAGCTGTGCGCAGGGCTCACTCTTGGCAGTGTTCCCGGCACCGGATACGGTGCTGAGGCCTGAAATCGGTCGGCTGCATGCAGGGCCAGCGCCTCCTGCTGTGCTGCCTCTCTGGCCTGCTCTTCTGGGCTTGTGATTGTTGTTCAGGTTTTCACAGAACTTCTCTCCCTTCTCTAAAGCAGCTTCTCTTGGCCATTCTGCGAGTGTCCCTTTTGGTAATCAACTCTCTGTTACTAGTTTCTCATTAGCTACTTCTCCTGTAAAATCAGTGTCCCTTTACCTAACTCTGTGTTTTCGTGACCGGGATCTTTCGGTGCGAGGTGGGCTTCAGTGCCCAGGGGAGGGAGGGAGCGTCTCCGGCTGTGGGTCGGGGTGACTCGCCTTGCGGTGCCTGTGGAGTGCCCTCAGCCCCGGCACACTCACCCTAGAGTCGGACCAGGGGCTGCTCGCCTGTTCATTTTCGTCATTTATCTAACAAAAGCACTTGTGAAACATGATTTTTGGCCAGTGAAAGAATAAAAAAAGTATGTGCTTTTAAAAATTCTTCAAAAAAAATTTCTTCAAATCACACAAGTGGTTTCAAATCCTTTCTAGGGACCAGAGTCGTAGCACAGTGGCAGGGCGCTTGCCTGGCACCCGGCAGGCCCAGGCTCCATCCCCGGTACTTAGGTGCTCCCCTGAGCACTGCTCGGTGGGACCCAAGAAGCACAAACAAACAGAAGAGACTTTCAGGTGCATGGTGATTAAAAGCAAAGAGATCGGGGACCGAGTGATAAGACCGTGGAGGGCGCTTGCCTTGCACACAGCAGACCTGGATTGGGTCGCCGGCATCCCATGTGGTCTCCAGAACACACGGAGTTTGGGCCGCCTCCCCCCACTGAAAAGAAAGAAAGGAAGAAAGGGTCTCAAAGATCCTTGGCTAGTCTTTCTTCATCCTTGTATGGAGGGGGATAGCATACTTTCAGTCATTGCATGTGGCTTCAACACATTTAATTAGAATTAAGACCTTGTTTGACAGCGGTAGGGCGTTTGCCTTGCGCGCAGCCAACCCGGCCAAGCCGGGTTCGATTCCTCCGCCCCTCTCAGAGAGCCCGGCAAGCTACCGAGAGTATCTCGCCTGCACGGCAAAGCCTGACAAGCTACCTGTGACATATTCAATATACCAAACACAGTAACAACAAATCTCACAATGGAGACATTACTGGGCCCGCTCGAGTAAATCGATGAACAACGGGAGGACTGTGCTACAGTGCTACCAGGTCTCTAAATATGTGCATATCACAGCAAGATTTTCCCTGTTATATGATATAAACATTAAAGTCTTTCACTGAAGAGCCAGAATGGTAGCATAGCGGGGAGGGCATTTGCCTTGCACACAGCCGACCCCGGTTCAATCCCCAGCATCCTGCCAGGGGTGACCCAACAAGGTTCCTCCCACCCCCCAAATTTTTTTTTTTTTAGTGAAAATAAGTTTTATGAAGAGGGGTGCATTTATGTGTATTATTAGAGAGGACCCCAAATGCTAGGACATTTTAGAACACAACATATTTCTGTACTCATATACTGTAAGGCATATACTCCTATACTGTACTCATGTACCCAGGTACATGTACTCGTGTACTCATGTACTCATGTACTGAAGGCAGAACTGTAAGTTCTGACTCCCTCAGAAATCACCCGTGGCGGTGCTTAGGGGACCACATAGGATGCTGGGAATCGAACCCGGATCCAGCGCATGCAAAGCAAACGCCCTACCCGCTGTGCTATTCCTCCAGCCCCGTGACTGCCTCTTTATTTCCTCTCTTAGCGGTGATCTTAAATCCCAGCTGATAAGCCCTTTTTCTTGGATAGGCTTGTCACTGGAACTTGCCACCTTTTGAAAGCTGTGGACAGGCTCTCCCAGAAAAAACATATGCAAATTGCAAATAATATTCAGCTTTCACTTGTTAACAGATAACCCTTTTAGCCATATTTAAAACTAGGCAGTAAAAGATATCATTTCTACCACAGTTCTAAGTCACAGATTTTGTCCTCAGAATTCATTTTATTTGTAAGAGCTTTAGACAGCCCAGTGGAAGCACGCAGAATGGTTTCAGAGGCTTTCCCACAGGAGGCTTTGCCCTTGCCTGGGTTTCTTAGTCTCGTCATGCAGAGATTTTGAACCAGATGGTCCTCTGTTGGGGAACGGGGACCGTCTTTCTTTGGATGCTCTTTGACAGCCTCCTGGAATAACGATTAGCTGCCGGTGTTATGTACACACACATAGGTATGATAATAAGGTATGACCCGGTATCAGCAGATGTACCTGGGTACTCGAAACCACTGCTCTGAACTTAGCTGAAGCGGTGTCTTCAGTGAGCAGAGAACGGCCACAGCAGACAGACATGTTCATGAGTCCCTGACTGGTGAATTCCTGCCAGGTGCAGCCGTGTATTACACGTAACAGACCACATGAAGCAGTCGTACAAGCCCAGGAGTAATCCCGAGCATCGCCAAGTGTGGCCCCAAAACAAACAAATGAAAAGCGGTGGCTCAAAGCAGTTGGTAGAGGCCAGCAGTGCTTTCCAGATCATTTATGGAGCCAATATTTAACTTTCTTTGACCTGTTTTTGCCCAGTTCATGTGTCCGTGAGCTTACAAGTGGTTTTGGTGTCACGGTGCCTTTCTTTCCTTCTGTTGGTCACTGGCATGACATTGTCCCATTCTATGTTTGCTCTTCGATTGCCCCTTAAGTCCTCGGTGTCAGACCTGAGCTGGGCCTATCACACTGGAGTGATGCAACTGAGACACCATCGCACCAGAGGTCAACCTAGTTCCTCAACAAGTTCTCCGCCAGGCCAGCCATCCTCCTTCCCTCACATCAAGAATCGGATGCTAAAAAGACACATTCCAAAATGATAAATTTATCTTTGAGAAATGAGATTCTTTATTGAGGTCACGTGGATGTTAGAGGTGCATGTATATTAATTGTATTGATGAAAGAATGAATCACCCATGAGGAAAAGATGTTCCCTTTGAGATTAATAATACTCAGAGTGGGCTGGCGCACGAGTTCGGTATTAGAACTGAAGTGACAGGGCGTTTTCAGTCTGCCATTCCCTCATTGAAAACACTGGTGTTGTTTTCTTGGTTATGAACAAAATGTTTGTGACTTAAGGATGGTCATCAAATCAAAGCTATGGCCTTGGGCTTTGGTTCAGATGAGTGTCTCTCTTACTTCTGAGGAAACGGAGCTTTCCTGCGACGGTAGACCGGGCCTCACAACTCACAAGCCTGGGCAGCCGCCCCGCCCGTCCCCATCCTCTGCTGTCCAGTCGTGCTTTCTCCTGACCTGCCTGACCTTTGCTTTCCACAGAGTTCTCCTTCCGAAGCCCAGAACTTAGATGAGAATACAACCGAGGGATGGGAAAATCGCATCAGACTGTGGACTGATGAGTATGAAGAAGCTTTTGCTAACCAGTACAGTGCCGACGTGCAGAACGCCCTGGAACAGCACCTCCACTCGAGCAAGGAGTTTGTGGGCAAGCCTGCTATTTTAGACACCATTAATAAGACTGAGTTGGCCTGTAATAATACTGTTATTGGTTCCCAAATGCAGGTAAGGGTCCAGAGCTTTAAAGACTCCAGTAAGTAGTAGGGTTTTTTAAGGAGGAGAACATATTATGGAATTTCTTTCAAATAATCGGACCAGCAAATTAGCTTGGTTACTGGTCTTCTTTAGCCAAAATGAGGTCATAGTAACCGGAAGCTATCCGAATATATGTTATAATATAATTTAATATAATATAATTTTATAAAATTTTGTTTATTCATTAAAAAACAGCTGGGGGTGGGGGGCTAAAGCTATAGCTCTAGCAGGTAGGGCGTTTGCCTTGCAAACGGCCTACCCAGGTTCGATTCCCAGCATCCCACATGGTCCCCTGAGCATCACCAGGAGTAATTTCCTGGGTGCAGAGCCAGGCGTAACCCCCATGCATCTCCAGGTGTGGGACACCCCCTCCCCTGCCCACAAAAAAAAAAGAAGTAAAACAGCGTGGGCAGAGAGTCGGTTTAGGGGTCAAGAGTTTGCCTTGGATGCCATTGGCTCTGATTTGGTCCCTGGTACCACATACCACCAAGCACAACCAGCTGTGGCCCAGTAAAAACAAGTAATCTCCCCCCCTCAAAATAAGAATAGATAAATTGGAATCAAAACTTACATCCAATATCAATAGGAATAATTTTTTAATAATTGAAATGAGGGGTTGGGGAGACAGTGCAGTGGGGTGGGTAGGGCGTTTGCCTTGCCTGCAGCTAACCTGCATTCAATCTCCAGCATCCTGTGTGGTCCCCTGAGCCCGCCAGGAGTTGTGGCATAGAAACAGAACAAAAAATTAATATGAATGATATTTTAATCTGTTTCACTTTACATTAAATGTAAAGATGCCAAAAATCATAATTACATCTTTTGACTTTTTTTCTGGTGGGTGGCAGATTCACAAAACAGCATTTTTTTCTTAAAAAAATGAACTTTTATCAAATTACAAAAACCTGCGGTATTTGAGCTAGAGTGTCTGTAAGTAAAGCCCGGAATCTGGGCGCGCTTTCCTGGGTTCCCAGAGGCTCGGGCGTCTGTGAGCCGTTGCGGCTGCCTGACACGGGGACTCTGGTTGCCGCAGCTCCAGCTGGGAAGAGTCACTCGCGTTCAGAAGCACCGGAAGATCCTGAGGGCCGCCCGCGACCTGGCCCTGGACACGCTCATCATCGAGTACCGCGGGAAGGTCATGCTGCGGCAGCAGTTCGAGGTCAACGGGCATTTCTTCAAAAAGTAAGAACATCATTGATTGGGCACGGGCTGCCCTGCCGGGGATGGCTTGGGGCGAGGAGGTGCTCGGGATCCGGGGCCCGTCACTTTATCTGCAGCTGAAGCTCCACGGTGCCGGCGCCGGCGCCTTGCCAAGGGAAGTGCCCCTCGCTTTGCGCTCACTCTGATCAGAAGCAGGCGGACCTGGGTGTTCGCCTCTGCCAGCACATGCTTCCTGTCTGAAGGTGTGGGGTGGCCTTTTTACTTGTGTTGAGAATCACAGACATTTTCGTTGTGTCCCTAGACCATACCCCTTCGTGCTCTTCTACTCAAAATTCAATGGTGTCGAGATGTGTGTGGACGCGCGCACTTTCGGTAACGATGCTCGCTTCATCAGGAGGTCGTGCACGCCCAACGCAGAGGTGAGATTTCGGTAGCCACCTCTCTTTAATGGGACCACCAGGGCCCCGGAGCGACAGCATAGCAGGTAGGGCGTTTGCCTGCATGCGGCTGACCCGGGTTCGATTCCCAGCATCCCTTATGGTTCCCTGAGTGCAGAGCGAGGAGTAACCCCTGAGCATCGCCAGGCTCGCCTGTTACAGAGAGCTGTTGGGAGTCAGGGGGTTACAGCGAAGAAGTTCGTGGGACAGTGCAGCGGGTCATCAGGCCAGACTGTTGCAATTCAGTCCTTTTGGGAGTCCTGTTCCAGGAGAGCCCGGGCACGTCGCGAGCTCGTCACTGCCTGTAGAATCCATGCCCACATCAAGTACAGGGAGAAAACCCACGGGGGGGGGGGGGGGGGGGTGTTTACAGTCGAAGGAATTTGTGTTCTCTTGCACAATGGAAAATATGATGTAGACCTGGTTTCTAACATCTTGAGGTTTCTCTCATTTCTTTCGAGAAGTTTTCAAGCCATTAAGTAATCGCCAATGAAGTGGAGCGCTTAAATAATAGGCTCCCAGAGCGAAGTGGGAGGAAGCCCCCGTGGGTGAAAGGCGTGTTCCCAGGCTGTGTGACAAGTCACCAACCACGAGTCTTGTCCACACAGGTGCGACACATGATTGCCGACGGGATGATCCACCTTTGCATCTACGCCGTATCTGCCATCACTAAGGACGCCGAGGTCACCATCGCCTTTGATTATGAGTATAGTAACTGGTAAGGCCCAGAACCTTTCGGAGCTATCCCACGCCTCTGCATTTGTCCCTTGCCAATCCCCCCCCCCCTTTTTTTTTAAATGTAATCTTTTGCTGAGTAGTGGGTTTTCTGCTTACCAGCTCTGGAGGGATAGTCAGAGTCACTCTGGGGCACGGGTTTTAAAAACAGGCACTTGCCTGATACTATACTACTTAGCACTAGATTTTGTTTTGGCTTTTATGCCTGTATAGTAAGAATGACCAAGAGTATGATCGCAATACTCCTGGGAAGTACAGAAGTATCTGTTACAGACACGGCGTTTGTGCCAGAGGCCCTGTGGGATGCCAATCTAAAGAATCTTCATGTCCAGTCAAGTCTTGTAACCTACCTGTGGATGGCAGTGTAAAATACAGGTGCCAGCTCATGAATATTCATAAATTATGATGGGGGCTGGAGCGATAGCACAACGGTAGGGCGTTTGCCTTGCACCGCAGCCAGCCCGGCCGAGCCAGGTTCGATTCCTCCGCCCTCTCGGAGAGCCCGGCTAGCTACCGAGAGTATCTCGCCCGCACGGCAGAGCCTGGCAAGCTCCCCGTGACGTATCCGATATGCCAAACACAGTAACGACAAGTCTCAAAATGGAGACGATACTGGGCCCGCTCGAGCAAGTCGATGAACAACGGGAGGACAGTGTTTGTTGTTTTTGGTTTTTGGGCTTTAGAAATGGATTGTTTTTTCCTCCCTGGGCCATTTTAGGCAAAAAAGCTTATTTGCTGAATTGATGTTTAGCATCAGTACTGTATACTATTTCACAGGTTAACACTTCGCACTCTTACTCTTACCTGTTAGACCAAATGAAGACAGTTGAATTCCGTGAGGGCTTTTCTTTCTGTTGCCTATGGGTGGGGAAGGGTTGTTTGTAGAAACAACACGAGAGTGTTCACGGGCCTCCCGCAGGCAGCATGAGGGCCACAGGCTGGAGCACAGCTCAGAGGGTGAGAGTGCATCTTCCCACACCAGAATTCCACATTTGTATCGGGTTCTTGAGGTTGTTCTGGTTTGGGGGGCGACGCATATCTGATGACGGTCAGGAAATCGTTCCTGGTGGAGTGGGGTGTGAGGCCAGCAAGTGCCCTACCTGCTGTCTGTAGCCCCGGCATCCCAGATTCCATTCCAGGCATTCCATGATCAGGAGCAACCCACAAGCACTGCAGGGTAGGGCTGAAAAAATAATAGATAACACCAGGAAATTAACCAAAAGGGGGGGGGGGGTGCAAACAAAACAAACGAGAGGAAATTGCTGTGCGAGTTTCACTAGAGCGAATGGTGATTTGCCTGATTTCCAGAGTCCTGACACAGGTGCTGTCGCTCTTTCTTTGGGACAGTAATTATAAGGTCGACTGTGCGTGTCACAAGGGGAACCGGAACTGCCCTATCCAGAAGAGGAACCCGAATGCTGCAGACCCACCCCTCCCACCCCCTCCCAGCCTCCCGACCGTCGGCGCCGAAACTCGGCGCCGGAAAGCACGACGGAAAGAGCTCGAGATGGAGCAGCAGAATGAGGCGGCCGAGGAGGACAGCAGCCAGCAGCCGGAACAGGCTCCGGAGAAGGCCCCGGTGGCCAGTGACAACGAGGTAATCGCGCGAGCACGGAACTGTGAGGCGTCCCTTCCCCCCTCTCCGGGCCACTCGGGGTAGAGCATCGCAGCCATGGGAAAGTGGCTGAGCACATGGGGGTTTGGGTTCTCACACTGTCAAGAACACACTCCACTTCCTTTCCTAATTCCGGCCCAACGAACGGGAGTCTTAGCATGACTTTACCTGGTCGCCTCTCGTGCATAATATCATGACGCACCAGAAATTGTTTCCAGAAGGTTTAGCTACTAGGGGAGGAAAAACCAAATTGATTTTTCTTAAAACTTCAGAGTAGAACTATATATATATATATATATATATATATATATATATATATATGCATATTGCCTCTGTCTTAAAGGAAATAGACAATCCTGAAGAAAAGGTGGCAGAGGAGAAAGAAGAGGCTGCCGACGCGCAGGAGAGCCCTGCTCACGGCCGCAGGGTAGGTCTGCCCCGTCCTCCCTGCTGCTGCCCACAGCCTGTGGGCGTGGGCCTTGCAGCTTGTGTTCTTTGCACCATGACCTGTAGGCTAAGCGCTGGGCCTCATCCATGCATGCCTGCACAGCTGTCAGTCTGTCCTTCTGTGTGTCTGTTAGCCGGTGGTGGTTCCAAAGCGTCCGTCACTGGCAGCTTGGGTTTTGGTTTCCTTTCTTTGAACCAGAAATCCTTGGGGGTGTGGGAGCAGAGACATTGCGCGGGGATAAGGCACTTGTCACTGCGTGGCTGTTCTCACTTTGATCTCTGGCATCCCACAGGGCCCCTGAACACCTCTGGGTGTGGCCCCCAAAGTAAAACAAGAGCAGAAGTGAACTGGGACCCGGGGTGGCTGAGTAGGAGGACGCCAGGTCGCTCGCTACCTCAGTGCACAGAAAGATGAGGAGGTCTGCATAGCGAAACACAATTCCGAGGCATTACGTTTTCAATTTTTATTGTTGATTTTTATTTAAAAGTACCATGATTTATAAAGTTGTTCACTATACGGTTGTTTCAGGCATTTCGTCTTCCAACACTACCAGTGTGGCCTTCCCTCCACCAATACCCCCCGTTTCCCTCCCAACCTGCCCCTTCGGCACATAACAAGTTTACTTTCTATTGCTTATTCCAACACCACTTTAAGAACTGGCAAATAGAATGATCAGAAAACAGATAAGGGCCAGTTAGTGATTACTGTATGATTTTGACTGACGTAAATAAAATTATAACCACTTAGTATAATATTGGGGCCGGAGCGATAGTACAGCGGTAGGGCATTTGCCTTGCGTGCAGCAAACCCGGCCTAGCCAGGCTCGATTCCTCCGCCCCTCTCGGAGAGCCTGGCAAGCTACCGAGAGTATCGTGCCCGCACGGCAGAGCCTGGCAAGCCACCCGTGACATATCCAATATGCCAAACACAGTATCAAGTCTCACCAAAGAGATGTTACTGGGCCCGCTCGAGCAACTCGATTAACAACGGGAGGACAGTGCTACAGAGCTACAGTATAATATTAAAAAATGCCCACTTTCATTTACACATACACTTTTCCAACTCTGGAATCTAAAAATACTGCGTTAAATTTTACTTTATACTTGAATCTTGTTATGGTAATAATCCTGTGATTCATCACACTTTTAAAGCAATTATCTGTTAATATATTTTGGATTTTACATGGAGTAGGTAAGCCATATGGAGAATTTCCCCTTAACTTTATATGAACACTGGTTCACAGAATTGTCCGTGATGATTCGTTACAGGCACTCAATATTCCAGCACCAATCCTGCCACCCACAACCTTCCCTTCACCATTGTCTCCAGTTTTCCCAACCATCCTTTAAGCGTGCCCCCATAGCAGACTCTCAATTTATTTTATATTGTGTGTTATCAACAATTTGCTAACAGAATGATCAAAAAAACATTTACTTAGAAGAAAGTGAAAATCTGTTGTATCTCACTGTGTCCGTGTATGAAAGCGCTGTTCCAGGCTTACGACAACAGGTGCTTGTGTTTTGTTGATCGAGGTCGGTTGTCTTCTCCTTTCTATCCCATCCAGTCCGCTGTGCTGCTCCTGGTGTATCAGTGTTGTAGTTTGAGATGTCCATCCAGGAATTCCAGAATTTTGTCTTAATTGTTTTAAATACTTGGTCATGGGCTAGAAAAATAATTCATTGGTTTGAGGGCATGCTCTGCATTCGGGAGGCTAAATTTTGATCCCCTGCACAGAATGGGGGGGGGGCACTTTGCATTCTGGAGGCTCAGTCTTGGTCCCCCCACAGAACATGGGGGGGGCGTCCCACTTTGCATTCGGGAGGCTCTGTCTCGATGCCCTTGGTCCCACCATCCCAAGCACCCCCAGCAGTACCAGTGTCTAGAACTAATCCCTGAACACCACTGGTATATCCCCAAGACCAAAAATAATTTAAAACTCAGTCATGTGAACTTAAACTCTTTGTCACCAAAGCTACCCACATGTATTTACATGCTTGGGAAAAGTATAATAAATTCTGCTTATTTTTGTACTCTGAAAATGCAAAGAAAATATTTAGTTTTGATGACTTTTTTCCTCCTTTAGTGAAGCAAGGTAATTTTTATTGAGAATTAATTCAGAAAGATGTGAGGAACACTAAGTAGGCTGGAACAACTGTATTATGAATAACTTTGTAAATCACAGTGTTTTAATAAAAATAAACAAAAGATGTGAGGGGAGAGAAGTGGAGAAGTGTGTGTTCGGGAGAACACAGGCTTCTCCGGAGTGGAAATGGGTGAGCAGAGAGCCATGGAGAAAGGCCTTGAGCCGCCCGAGGGAGGGCTCAGCCGCAGTGAGCCCTGGGGACTGTGCTTATGTATTAGAGCGTCCCGGGCCCAGAGAGACCCAAAGGTTGGCGGTTGGGGGGGGGGGGAAGTTGTATGCCCAGGGGTGCTCAGGGCTGACTCCTGGCTCTGCACTCAGGGATCACGCCAGAGGGGTGCCGGGGATTGAACCCAGGTCTGCTGTGTGCAGGGCCAACGCCCTCCCCCACTGTCCTGGGGCCTAGGTCTAGGGGCACATTCTATATGTGGGAGCCTTGGGCTGACCCCCAAGTACTACGCCAGGAGGAGCCCCTGGGCTGAGTGGGACACCGCCCAAAAGGAAAGGTTCAAAATGTCCTTTTTCAAGTTCAGTTTTGACCTAGCCTGCCTTTTCAATTCTCTTTTACCTTTTTTTAGGAGGGGTGGGGGGCGCACCCAGCAGTGCTCATGAACCGTCGGGGGATGCTGGGGAAGTGCTTTTAGTTTCCTGTTTTCGTAAGACACATGTGTCATCTTAATGGTCTCTGAAATAGTTTTCCAGTAGCAAGATTTCTAAAAACCTGCCTCGCCCTGCACCCCCTACCCGCGACCTGGCGCTGATGCTCGTGCTCTTTCTCAGACCCGGGAAGATCGGAAGGTCGAAGCCATCATGCATGCTTTTGAGAACCTGGAGAGAAGGAAGAAACGGCGGGATCAGCCCTTGGAACAGAGCAGCTCTGACCTCGAGGTCCCCACCGCCGCCTCAGAGACTCCTGCGGGAGAAGAGCAGAAAGCAGAGGCCCCCGAAGCGGAAGCCAGCAACCCTGTCCCCAACGTCACTGTCCCGAGCACGCCCCAGAGTGTGGGCGTGAACACCCGGCGGTCTTCTCAAGCAGGGGTAAGAGGGTGAAGGGGGCTTGCACGCCTTGCTTGCCTGTGTTGGGAACGAAGCTGACATTTTTGGTTTCGCTCCTACTGTATTTGATGAGGTCGTTGGGACGGAAGGCGTTTTGTGAGTGATGTGTGGGCTGCGGGGAAAAGGCTTGAATGGTCAGACACTAGAAGAAACCATTCAGGGGCCAGGGCGAGGGTTCACTGGGTGGGGCGTTCGCCTGACATGTGGCTGATCTGGATTTGACCCCTGGCATCCCATAATGTCCCCCGAGCCCGCCAAGAGTAATTCCTGAGTGCAGAGCTAGGATCACCACCCTGTGTAGCGCTCTCCCCTCACCCCGAAACACTCCCAAAATAAATAAATAAATAAGCCTTCTTCATCCTGTTAGTGCCAGGTAAGTTTTTGGCGGTGAGCTGCTGAAACTCACTCCGCCCGGCCGCCTCTCGGCACAGCCGCGCTCCCGAAAGCCAGCCCTGTCCGGTACCTCCAGATGAGCTCCTGTCCGCCTCTCTCCTGTCCTCCTTGCTGGGAACCCTAGAATTAGCCGCCCCGCCTCAGCTGGCTTTTGTTGGCTATTTCATGAGTACATATTAGGAAAAGAAATGACTCCGGCATCTACCTGCAGCTACATTAGCTGGTTTCAGTGTCTGTTTATTTTTCAATAAGAGTCATATTTAAAATTTCTAAATGCTTGCTTTTTCATTGCTTAACATTCTGAATTCTTAAAATGAAGAGACACGGGATGGAATCCTGGCCGATGCCTGCTGAGCCTTTCTTTTCTCTCTCGTTCCAGGAGGCCGCCGTAGAGAAACCCATCCCCAGGCCCCCCCCAGCAAAGCCTTCCAGACCCCGGCCCAAAAGCCGCATCTCCCGGCACCGGGCCAGCTCAGCCCAGAGACTGAAGCGCCAGCGGCAGGCCAGCGCGCAGCAGGCCGAGGCGGCGCAGGCGGCCCTGGAGGAGGGCGGGGCCCACTGCTCGGCCGCGCCTGCCGAGCCCGGGAGCACGGACAGCGCGGGGGAGAGCCGGCAGGCCGCGGGGGCCGACCCGGCCCTTGCCTCAGTCACCGGGGCCCATGTCAACCGCGCCGCCGCGAAATACCCCAAAACCAAAAAGGTGCGTGATGACCCACGGCGCGCTTCCTGTTGGCAGAGGTCAGGGGCGCCGGCCAGGAGCTTGGGCGGGGCCCGAGCCGTCCCCTGCTGTCCTTGGCTTCCGGCAGAGTTAAATTGCTGGTGGCCGGGATCAGCCCCGCCTCGGTGACGGTGGAGAGGGCGGGAGGACAGTGCCCGCGCTCTCGCCCGCCGGCCGCAGCGCTGACTCGGGTGTCCTCCTGCCCTAGTACCTTGTGACCGAGTGGTTGAACGACAAAGCGGAGAAGCAGGAGTGCCCCGTGGAGTGTCCCCTGCGCATCACCACGGACCCAACTGTCCTGGCCACGACTCTGAACATGCTGCCCGGCCTGGTCCATTCCCCCCTCATCTGCACCACCCCCAAACACTACATTCGCTTCGGCTCCCCCTTCATCCCCGAGAGGCGACGCCGGCCGCTTCTGCCTGACGGCATGTTCAGCTCCTGTAAGAAGGTATGTCCCCTGCGTCCCGCCACGGCTCTGCTCGCCTGGCTCTTTGCTTGGTTCTGAACCCGAAGTGCCTGTCGTCCGGCACAGCTGACGGTTTTCTCGGTAGCCACACTTTGCCCACCAGAGTTCCTGAAGAGTTCGTTGTCCAGCCAGGAGACCGCAGGTGGACTGAGGTGGGGCAGAGACTGCGTGTCTGGTGCTCAGGGTTCACTGTTGTCTCTGTGAGAAATCTCAGGACTGCTGAGTGAGTCTGCGCGGCACAAAGGACTCTCTCCTGGGTGCTCTCATGGTGTTGGATAGTAAGTCCGTTTGGGACGGTCTGCTGAGATTGGACCCCGGGTACACGAGATGGGGGGCCTTGGGGCAGCCATTGAAAGCCTCTGCTCTGGAGCAACTAAAGAAAATGGAACCAGTGTTTGACTTAACCTCGTCACTGTCGTCAGATGATTGAGCACAAGGCAAGAGTCCTGTTGCAGTGGCATAATTTCTGTTCCTTGGAATTAAGCAGTTGGACCGCCGTTCCGTTTGGACCGCAGAGCCTCCTCTGAAACGCCCTCCCTCGCTGCCTCTCTGGAGATACGGCTGTTTGGGCGACAGTGGCAGTGGTTTTTCATGGCTGTTTATTTTTGGAGCTCTCTTTCTTATTCCCTGGAGCCCTGAAGACTTTCCAACGGCGTCTCCTGGGGATAGCTCATTCCCGCAGATAGATGGTTGTTTTCACGTTTCGAAGCTAGGGCACCCCTTCCTTGGGTCTAACTTTGAGGTCAAGTCTGTGCCTTTTCTCTTATCCTCAAGCCCCAGGCTGCCTCCCTCAGTGCCAGCCTCTGTGCCCAAGGATGCTGCTGGAGATTGTTCGCTGCTCCGACCTGCGCCTTCGGGCAGGCCTTCCCCCCTCCTCCACTCTTAAGCTTTTCGCTGTCCCCAAAGAGCAGGTCTTCCTCAGAGGGAGGATGGCAGGGCACGAGAGCTGTGGGCCGCAGGGGAGGAGGCAGCGGGGACCCATACACCCAAGACAAAATCCCGACCGCTTGTTCACTGAGGATTGGAGTCGCTGTTGGCCGATTTGGGTGAAATTCCTAACCAGAACTCAAAAAGAGAAAAGCAGCCTTCACTCCAGGGGGGGAAAGGGTGCTGTCCCTCCGCCTGCTGCCCCTAGGCAGCTTGGTGGCCACCATCCTCCAGAGGCCGTTGGACAGTCAGGTTTGGGCTCTCAGTGACGAGACACGTGGGGCTTCACGGGATGGGGGTGGTGCCAGCCCTTTCCTCCCTGTCCCAACGAGACCCCGTGTCGCCGCCCACAAATGGCCTTTCTGGGTCTTTATCAAGCTGCTTAACGGCCATGATCCAAGAAACTCGGGAACAAATCTCGGAACCCAGCAGGTTTTGGCAGAAATCCCTCCGGATTTAATTGTTAAAATTTCGTAATTTCAAAATCACACGCTGCAGCCACGCGACATCATATGTTATTCATAACCAGCAATAGGATACAGATTGTCTACTGTTGCCTTTTCAGCAGATCTGAATGTTGGGGTAAAAGTCCAAATAATAATGGTGGGTCTGGTGTCAAAATACTGAATGTAATTAAAGTAGAGAGAGAGTAATGTGGAAATCATCTGCCCTACAGGTAGGGGGAGGGTGTGGGATGGGGGTATACTAGGGGTTTGGGGGATGGAAAATGGGCACTGGTGAAGGGACGGGTGTTTCATTGTATGACCGAGATTTAAACCCGAAAGTTCTGTAACCGCTCTCACGGTGATTCAATAAATAAAATTATAAAAAATGGGGGGGGAGTAAGGTGGAGTTCATGCCCAATTCATAATCAGCTAATCGGTGGCTGAATACATAGCAGTACTCCTGCATTTAAAAAAGAGGGAGAAAAGCGACCTTGAGATCTTTTCCAAAAGGACTTGTGGGTGATGCCGTTGACACAGATGACCTCAGAGGCCGCGCTCATCGGAAAGAGAGGGCTGGCAGTTTGCTTAAGTGATGAAAGGGGACCAGATTCTCTGAAGATGGTTTCTTACAAACCGGCCCCCTTATCCCTTGGGCCCTGGGCGTCTCTGGGCAGGAGGGAAACTGCTGCATGTTCGCATCCTCTCTCCTGCGGTAACTGCTGCAGTCGCGTGGACTCCGGTGTGGCACGCAGAGCTCGGTCCAGTCTGTCAGTAACAGTAACGACTCACGGGGGCTGGGGAGATAGTCCAGCGGGCAGGGGCTTGCCGTGCACACTGCGAAACCCGGTTTCCAGCCAGCCTCCCCAGAGGGTCTCCCCATCTCCCCCAGAAATGATTCCTGAGTGTGGAGACGGGTGTGCCCTGAGCACTGCTGGATGTGGCCAGATACAAAAGAGGACCAACTCACAGGGGCTGGAGAGAAAGTACAGCAGGTCAGGCGTCTGCCTTCCACGCTGCTGGCCTGGGCTGGTTTCTGGCACCCCATTTTGTCCCCTGAGCACCACTTTGTACGGCCCCAAAATAAATAAATTACAGCTTACCTTTTCTTCTGCCTTTGTCTGAACATAGTGCTAGACTTAGGATGCCCGTTGACGCATCCCATCGAGCCATTTAGTGTAGAGCCTCTTCCTGCCCCTCCGGAAGGGTGGACAAATGCTGAAGGTGAATGGTGAAGTCTTAAGTGATAGACTAGACTGGCCTGTTGTGGTAAAGCCATCTGGGTCCTCTTGGGCCCAGTTATGATCTTTGTATATTGCTTTTCCCATGAGTCCCATGAAATTTAAAAATGGGGTTTTTTTAGTTGTGTAGAAATCTGGTGGTAGAAAGTCCAGCTCAGAGGCGCGTGCGGTTCGCAGTGGAGGTCTCGGGACTGCACTGATCTCTCCCCCTTGTAAGTAGCAGCCCCACGTAGTTCACCCCTGTTCTGTCCCGTGAGTGGCCTGACCGTGCTCCATCTTGCCTTCAATAGGCTTTGCGCAGGCATTATCCCGGTGTCGTCATAGGTTTAGAAGAATTCAAGCTGTGTATGCTGAATGATAATAGCAAGATTCTGGCTTAAATTAGGTCTTTTAAGATTATTTTAGATGTGAATTATTGTAAATCGCGGCTTTAATACTTATTAACGTGTCGTATGCCTTATGCAAAGATAGCTTTTATTTGGCATAATTAGTGAAGTTGGGTTTTTCATCCAGAGATTGAAATCAGCTTGATCCTGGATGAGAATGGAATAGAATTCTTTTCCTATTGGTCAGAAAGGACTCAAGCACAGGGACGTAAAGAACATTTCCCAATTAAGCAAAATTATAATGCATTTCTGAAGAAAAAAAGAACCAGAGGAAGGTCATAGATGAAATAGATGGGCAAGGGTCCGGAGAAATAGTGCAAGCCGGGAGGATGTTGGCATTGCACACGGCACCCCTGAGCTCAGAGCCAGGAGTAAGCTCTTGCACCGACAGGTGTGGCCCAGAAAACAGAGCCCCCCAGAACAATAGACTGGAGAGAAAAAAGCTACTTCTGCGGAAATAGTTTGAGGGTGTGTTTCACTACTAGGCTGCTGGTCTTTTCTGGTTAAAGGGGGCATCTTCTCATGAGGATGAGGGAAGTGTCCGGTTTTATATATATGTTTGCACCCAGATGCTTCCTGATGCTCCCGGCGTTTCTGTATTAAATTGAATCATAGTTCTTACGAAGCCTGCTCTGCGCCCTTTGTCAGCGCTGCCCTCACTCACTTCGGAAAGGAAGCCTTCGGGGTCTGTCCTGTTCCCCGCTCGGCTCACCCTTGTGATCATGTTTGTGGGCTGTTTGATCTCCGGGATTTCTTAGAAACCCAGTCAAACCATCCTGGAGAAGAAACCCCACGGCCCAAGGCGAGGATGAGGGTGAGGGCCCGAGCGTGGGGCTACGTGCGAGGCCTCAGCCGGCCCTTCACGGCCCGAGCGTGCGCCTGAGCACCCAGCTCTAGTCTCCACTGAACAAGCCCTCGCTGAGCCTCCTGCCGTGTGGCCTCTTTCTCCACGTGAACCAGCTCTCTTCGCCCTTATGACCTGGTAAAGCGTTCAGTGAGCTGCCCAGAGTTAGGCCGGGCTCGGCCAAGAAGGAGGCACAGCCGGATCTTTGGACTCCAGATCCTGAATGCTGCTTTGCTCTTTCCCCAGACTAATGACTGTTTCGCCTCGCCCTGCGATGCTCGGGGGTTACTCCCGGGGGTGTTGGGGAACTGTGTGTGGTTGAGGATCAAACCTGGGATGGCTTTGAGCAAGGCAAGCCCAACCCACTGTGCGGTCACTCCAGCCCCTAACGAGTCCTTTTAAAGCATTTTTAGCTCTTCATCTCTGGAGAGAGAATTAAAAATTTAAAGTATCTTAAAGCTGTAATACAGAGCTTCAGAAGGAGGCAAGTTTTTTGTGATGTTGGAATAGTTGTTGCGTAAAGAACTCCAGGGCCCGGGATGGTTCTGGAATTATGAGGAGCTCTGAAGTTAATTCATTATTCATAGAGGTGATTGAGACTTGGATCCGGCCGACGTTTGTGTTCTCCTCGGCCCAGACGGTCTCAGCGGATGGCTTTGCTGGCATTGGCTGGCTCTGCTCTAGGGAAGCGCAGCCGACCTCGTCCCGAGTGCCCTGGCCCGGTCCATTTTCCTCTGTCGTAGTTGTCACATACACGTATTTCACAGTGCATCTGCTGGGTACCCGACTACAGGAAGTGAGCTTCTTGGGCCAGAGACAGGAGCCCACGTGAGGCTGCTCACCTGCTCGGAAGGGGGCCGCTTCCCTCCAGGTGTGCGTCACAGGCTCTCGGCCTTCGCCCTCCCTGCCTGTCCCTGGAGCTCTGTATCCAGGCGACCAGAGGGCCTCTTTGGAGTCTCCGCTGGTGATGTGCTCACGGCGTTCTGTGCTGGAGCCCATCTGTGGTCTGGGCTTGCCTCTGCATCTGGTCTGTGATCTGGTCCTCTGCATCGTAGGGGTCCAGTATTATTTCACGTGCCGTGAAACTGCTCATCACTGACTTTCTTTGGTGAAGAACATTGCATCTACTATTGGTTCTCTAAAGATGTAGGGTTGTAGTCCCCTCTGCTGTTGTGTTTGGGGGGATTCTGACTCTGAATTTGGTGTTTACCAAAACTTAATCTCTTTGTGAGCCATAGAATCCTGCCAAGCCCAGCTGAAGGCCCAGGTGCCAGGAGTGAGCCCTGAGCACAGAGCCAGGAGTAAGCCTTGAACACTGCCTGGTATGGCCTCAAAACAAAACAGCCCCCAAAAGCCTCTAATCAGTATCGTGTTGGAAAGGGAGAGATACTCCAATGAGTGAGAACCCTGTAGCCCTTTCTCAGACCAGAATCAGTGAGGTTTCGCTTTGCCCTGAACACAGCCGCGTCCTCATCTGTGCAAGCTTGCTTTCTCACAGAATCTGCTTCTCGTCATCCTAACTTCCAGCATTCACTACACAGAATGCAGCTGATTCAAGCCCTTTGGCTCTCTTCTGTTCTTGACTTCAGCAGAAGGGTATTTATTGTGGTAATTGGCGTTCTTGGTACATAGTTTACCCGGTTGCTTGATAGGAGGAGACAGCTCAGAGTCCAGCCCGCCGGGGAGTACTTGGGACTTGTCGAAGATCTGTTCATTCTCACCCAGTCCGAGACTCCTGCCCGTGTCCACTCGGACACGCCAGCCCGCGCATGCCCGGCCCACTCCCTCCCTGCCTGCTTTGTATCTTTGTTTTGCTCTCCGTGACCCACGTCTTTCTCCATGCGTCTTACCTTTGGCTTTGGTGCTCTAAGCTTTTTGAAAGCTAAATTGGAATCATTTTTTGTTGTCGGTTTTGATTTTTGCTTGGAATCTGTATTTTCTCAGTTTTGCCTGGCCTGGCAGAATAATCTGCCGAAACACCCGCCTAAAGTACTTGACAGTGGAATCAACAGAATGGATGTTCCGTTGCCTCTCTAGCCGTCTAATACCCTGGAATGACTTGGTTTATACGTTTAAGAGAGGAATAGAAAGATACTTCTTAAAAAGTGTAGTTGTAAATGAGTACTAATCATTCCCTGATTCTTCCCCTGTTATAGCGCTGGATAAAGCAAGCCTTAGAAGAAGGTATGACGCAGACATCACCTGTACCCCAAGAGACTCGAACTCAGCACCTATACCAAAGTAATGAAAGTAGCTCCTCGAGTATCTGCAAAGATAATGCAGGTATGTATTTCAAGCTTTTCTGATCACATTAGCAATGATTATTCCAGGCCTCCATAAATTGTTCAGTATGATTACTTTAAAAATCTACTACCAAAAGTTAATGAATAGCCTTGTTCTCTAAATAGTCACTTTACGTCTGTCTTTACAGAGGAAGAGAGAGATCTCAAGGCAGGGATCAGTTTCCCAGGACGACAAAGAGGAACTAGACAGTATACAGATAACAGCAGAAATGGTTGTTCAAAGGTTAGATGCATTTTAAGTAGTAAGTTCAGGGAATCTTTGTCCTGTTGATGAGGGAACAAGGCCAGTAAAGCAGTGGGCTATGAGAATGCAGGAAGGCACGGAAACGTAGGTGCCTGGCGGGGGGAGTTTGGGTGAAGGATGCGTGGTCACAGACTAGGAATGGCCACGCGTGGTTCGGGCTGTCGCTCTGCTCCTCCGGGCTGCGCCGTCAGTGCCGCATTATTTCCAGAAGACACAGGCTTTCATCCAGCTCAGAGTCCTGAGGAAATTTAGACAAGAGGGTCATCCAACACTTCCTGGCCCGTTGTTTTTCCCAGTGACCCTGAAAAAGGTTGGAACTGCATTGGGCTCCCTGGGGCGTAGCTATGTTGCGCCTGCGTAACTCACGTGGAGACACTCTTGGATTAAAGAATGTCTTCTGAGAATGACTTCTACTGATGCAATCTGGTTTATAGAAGTTCTGTATAGGTGGGCTGGAGAGATAGTACACAGGTGAGGTGCTTGCCTTGCACTCAGAGGTCCTGGGTTTGAATCCCCAGCACCACCTATGGCCCTTCAAACACAGCCAGGGCTCACGCCTCAGCACAGTCAGAAATAACACCCAGGCACCCGTGGGTGTGGCCCTTCCCCTCAGAATGTAAGCTCTTTATGATCCTGTATTTGGAGAAAGGGAAGATCCGTGTGATTTACGTAGTTTTGGTTGTGTGTTCTTTTTTTGGGGGGGGTCACATCTGGCAGTGCACGGGGGTCATTCCTGGCTCTGCACTCAAAAATTCCTCCTGGCGATGCTCAGGGAACCATATAGGATGCTGGGAATCGAACTCAGGTCAGCTGCGTGCAAGGCAAACGCCCTGTCTGCTGTGCTATTGCTCCGGCCCCCATTTTTTTTATTTTTTTATCTCTGGTTAACTTCACTGAAATCATATCTCAAATATGTCCACAAATGAACATTTTTACTTGTGGTGTGTGTATATGAGTTTGGGAGCTCTTGTCTGAAATATGTATACAAATCATGGGTGGAGGAGGGGTGTGCGCATATGTGCTATGTATGTGTATTTAAGCTCGGGAAATCTTGTGTCAGATATACACACAAATCCTGGGCGGAGGCTGTGGATGCGTGGGTGTGCAGTTGCGCGCACGCGCGTGTGTATGTGTGTGTGTGTGTGTGTTTGCATTCAAGAAAAGCAGGTTGTGTGCAGTCGTGTCCTGACAAGCAAAGACTGGCCAGGGAAGTGTTTTTGTTACTACCTGCCCTGATTGGAATGAAATTAGAATTGTTAGCCACCAGCTTTTGTTCAGCTGCTTCTGCTCCAAGCGTAAGCAGTGGGAAGCGTTCCACAGACACACCTTGCCCTGAAGGACTCGCGCGAGCAGCATGGTATCCTGCTAGTCAGTATAAATCAGGAGCCGTGCTTTGTGTCGGTAGGAAGACCAAGGAGACTTGCATCTAGAAAGTGGGGCATGGAGCTGGCCACAGCACAGAGGTTAAGGCTCTGGCTTTCCATGCAGCCAACTGGGGTGCCAGTCCGGGTGCCAGCTCTGGCACCGCACACGGTCCCCAGAGCCCTGCCAGGAGACGTCCCTGGGCACTGCAAAGCCAAACAAAGCAACAAGGATTGATTATTATAATAGAGGCTGAGTGAGCTGGCCTGATGAACCGGCCTGCCTTTCCCTAACTCTGAGATCGGGCCCTTTGTGACAGTCTTGGCCACGTCTGTGAATCAACATAGTGATGCTGCCGGGGGCTCTCAGCTCACATGCAGGTAACCTTGGCTTGATCCCATATGGGTCCCCGGACCCCGCTAGGAATGATTCCTGAGCATTGCTGGGTGTGGCCCAAACCATCCCCCATGCAAATAGCACTGTCGTCCCATTGCTCATTGATTTGTTCGAACCGGCCCAGTAACATCTCCATTGTGAGACTTGTTGTTACTGTGTTTGGCATATCGAATACGCCGCGGGGAGCTTGCCAGGCTCTGCTGTGCAGGTGAGATACTCTCGGTAGCTTGCCGGGCTCTCCGAGAGGGGAGGAGGAATCGAACTCAGGTCTGCCAGGTCAGCCGTGTGCAAAGCAAACGTCCTACCCACTGTGCTGTTGCTCCAGCCCAAGCCATCCCCCATGCACCAAAAAAAAAAAAAAAAAAAATTCAGTTCTGGTTGTAAAATGTATGGTATTTGCTCAGAGTATCAAATCCCAAGCTAGAAATTCTGCTCTTTCATTCTGTACTGAATGCTGTTAATTAAGGATAATTCATGGACCATTTACAGAAATGATATAGCTACCAGGCGGAGCAAGAGTAAACTGGTAGGATTTTTTTCTTGCACATGGCTGACCCAAGTTCGATCCCCAGCATCCCATGTGGTCCCAGAGCACTGCCAGGAGTGAGTACTGAGCACAGAGCCAGGAATAAGCCCTGAGCATCACTGGGTGTGGCCCAAAGACCAAAGAAAGAGAATTCAGGTACATTGAAGATTCTGAGTTACAGTGTCAGTGATGTAGCCATTGGTCAAGCCCCTGCTTACAGGGCCTTGGCCCAGTCCCAAGTGTAAATGTGACAAAGCCAGTGTGAAATCCCAATACTCACCACCTCTGCACCCCCGAATTCATCACCACAGTTAACTATACAGAGAATAAGTAAACGTTCTGAAGTTTCCGACAGCTCAAGTTTTATGGAATTGTCCTGACAGGGGCAAGGTATGGTCGGTGTCGGTGTCTGTGTCTAGGAGAGCCTCACCGACGAACTTCAGAGCTCAGAGTTAGCCATTGTGAGGTATAATTGCTAGCTACCTAGGTGAAAATTTAATAGTATTTAACTGTTAAGAAAATGAACTTTTTTTTCAACCCAACTTCTTTTTGAGTTTTTGCTCTGGGGTCACACACAGCAGTGGTTGGGGACATCTCTGGAATGCTTGACTCCAGCCTACCGCCTTCTCTCTCGACCCCTCCTCGTCAGACTTGCAACTAGTGAGGCATAAGCATAAGCCGTTACTGAGGAAATGAAGTTCCATGTTCCTTGACGGGAACAATAAATGCACTCTCTGGCTTCAAAGAGCATCAGAATCGTTCTGAGCTTTTCGGGGTGAAGAGTGGGGATGTCACTTGTAATCTACCAACCAGAATGGACTTGTGCATGCGATGACGATGGAAGGTTGTTGGACAGTGACAGCTAGCACCACTCATACTTGGGGAAACGAGTTTGTTTCTGAGGTTCGATTATAGGACCTCGAAGTTACTCTGAGAAGATACTTATCAGGGCCAGGTACAAGCTCAGTGGTCATTGCCGCAAAAATGTATGTGAATATGAAACAGAGGGCAATAGGCAAAATAAAATGATAGTGGAGGATAAATTATTTTGCAAGTTTTACGTGAGTGGCGAAAAAGAGATAGGTAATGATAATACATTATTATCTGTATTATCTGTAATGAAAATACAGAGGGGAGGGCGCTTGCCGTGCACACAGCCGACCCAGGTTCGATCCCTGGCATCCCACATGTCTCCTCCTCCACACCAGGAGTGATTCCTGGGTGCAGAGCCAGGAGGAAGTTCTGAGCACTGCGGGGTGTGACCTAAAAACAGAACAGGAAAGTCAGGCCCTTCTTGCATGTATTAAAGCTTGATTCCCAGTAAGTAACATCCCCTTCCCTAGTAGACAGGAGTGAGCCCTGTCCGCGGGGCCAGCAGAAAGACCTGAGCACTGTGGGGTCCGTCCCAAGACCACTAGACATGTATATGTGGTGGAATTAGATCTTTGCCAATACAAACTCTAGAAAAATTGAAATTTTGTAGAAAATCGATTTGCGTAAATAATGTTTCTTTATATCATATTTGAATTAGTATTGTACTGATAGATTGAGAGAATGAATTTGTAGTAAGAGTATCAGGTCAAGTAAACTAGCTTGATAAACCACTAGATTACCGGGGGGGGGGCGGGGGGGCTGAAAAACCAAATCAGAAATGAAAAGGGAACATTACAGCAGACACCAGAGAAATTCAGATGATCCTCAGAGATTACTTTGAGAATCTTCGTGCCAGAAAAAATATTCATGCTAAAAGAAATGGATAAATTCTTGGAGTTCTATAATATGCCAGTGCAGAACCAAGTTGTTATCGAGTACCTGAACAAAACTGACACTAGCAAGGAAATTGAAATGGTAGTCAAAGGTCTTCTCAAAAACTAAAGTCCCAGTCCAAATGGATTCACTAGTGAATTCTTCCAAACCTTTAAAAAGGACCTACTGCCAAAACTCTTCAACCTCTTCCAGGAAATTTAAAGAAACAGAAACACTTTGAATGAAGTAAACTTCACCCTGATACAAAAACAGATACCACAGAAAAAGAGAAGTATAGGCTAATACAAGGCTTCTCATCAGATTACTGGCAAAGAGAATCCAACAATTCATCGGAGAGATCGTACAGCCTGATTACGTAGGATGCATGCCAGGGATGCAAAGATGGTTTAACATACACAGAGCAGTCTACATAATAAACCCTGTCAATAAGAAAGCAAAATCAGTATAAGCAGAGAAAGTATTTGATAAGATCCAGCATGCATTCATGATGAAAACTCAATAAAACGGAAGGACCTTTCCTCAATATAGTTTAAGCCACTTACCACAAGCCCACAGCAAACATACTCGGTGAGGGAAAACTGAAAGCCTTGCCTCTGAGACCAGGCACAAGACGCTCTCTCCACTCCTGTTCAGTATAGTTCTGGGAGTCCTTGCCCCCGGCAAGTCGGCAAGAGAGTGATCTCGA